AAACTCTTTGCAAGAAAATCCAAGCACTCGTGTATTATCAAGAAAACAACTAAACAAGTATATATGCATGTCAAAAGCAGTTCTACATTTGTCAACTTGACGGTACGCCACGTGGCACCGTACCCTCCTCCCACGTGAGCCAAGTGTCATGCAAATGTAATAAATATTATTATATCTTTTTTCACATCACTGGTATTATATTGTCGTTCGTTGGTGTCTTTTTACAGCTCTCTTCTTAGACTTGTCTACTTTAATTTGTTCTGCTCATGAAAAGTCTTTAATGGTTAGTGAGGATCTACTAACCCAGGGGAAGATGTCAAAATTAGGTGCCAAGAGTAAAAGCCTTTTAATGTTAGTTTCCCTAACAACTGACTTGAGCCGAAATTAATTAATGGGGTTTTTTTTTTTCTTTTGTGTCGTTTTCAAATGGGTAGACTTTGTTAGACTACTAGTAGTATATGGGATTGCATGGAGCAGGAGTTTGGCATTGAAATTAAATTTTAAACACAATTTGAAGTCAATATGTAAATGTTTTATACTATATTCAAAAGGCACTAACTTGGGCCGGTGACCGAAATCATATGACTAAATTTTATTGTCACCCTTTTGTTTCTTGTTCATGCACATCATGATGAAAGAACTCAACCAAAATTCCAATTGCTGAAGTTGTATGATCAATAAACTAGGAAAAAGAATTATCCAACTTTAATATGATGGGGTACTCCTAAACTATTTTTGAATGTATATCCTGTCAAAATTATATCAAAATAAAAAATAAAACAAGAACTTGATAAAAATCTAAAGGATCTAATTTTCATACCCAACCAAAGCGTTCTAATTGTACAATTCTTAGCTGTTGAAGTACAGGAGTTTCATGCTGTATAGTCAAAATCAGGATTATCCATGAAATTTCAATTCAATACCTCTACAAACTCAAGTAGCTAGGGCAGTGTTCTCAACAAAAAAAAAAAAAAAAGAAGAAAAAAAAGTAGCTAGAGCAGTATTTCACTAGCTTAAAAATCAATCTGATCATGAGAATTCAGGCCTAATCCATGTTTCTATCGGTTGAACATGACTTCTCAATTACAAATTTCGTTATGATTCATGAGGTTAATTATAGTCAATTTTAACAAGTTTACTCACTAACATATCAAAATTATTACAAAAAATATCCTTTTAGAAATTGTATTACAATGATATTAGGGTTTTTTTATACTAAAATGTAATTAAAAGCTCCCTTAGATCTGTAAGACCTGGTCTTTCGTCATCTGTTTTTTTTTTTTTTTTTTTTCTTGAAAAGGGATGTAATTAAAAGCTCCCTTAGATCTGTAAGACCTGGTCTTTCGTCATCTTTTTTTTTTTTTTTTTTTTCTTGAAAAGGTGTTCTGATGTAATCTACCATCACCAAGAAAAAGGACCCCCAAAAAAAAAGAAGGGGGGAAAAATAGCTACAAATTGGCCACTTCTACCTACATTTTGAAAAGAGTTTAAAATTCCACATTTTTTTTCCTGTGCCCGGGAATCTTTTTTTGGGTAGAATTATCTCAATTCCTGTCTAAATCCTAATTAGTTAGGTCACTAATGGTGACACATAATATTATGTTTTCCTCGTTTATCTAGAGAAGGACAAAAATAGTGGAAGGGCTGCAAAAAATATGGCAAAGTATTGGAGTACGGTACTGTTGCTTGTAATTCTTTTTGTGTTGATACGTATTATTGTTGTCATTATGATCTAGTTATTTGAATTAGGTTAATTAAATTACAGAACTAAGTGGTGCAGTTAACTTTAAAATCAGGATTACTTAAGCCTTTAGGCGTTTTTTGCAAGCCGCCACACTAGGATACTGTACTGGTTAAGCATGGTATATTCATGCTAATTTTAAGGGAAAATGGGAGGCTTTATGCAAACTTTTTCAACATCATGAAAGAAATGTGCAACATGAGAAGCCATATTGTAAATATGAGGGGTGATAACTAGGCTTATGCCGCTTTTAAAGTTTTTTTTTTTATTCATATGTACCACTTTTGAGGTGTAAATTAAGCTTTTTTCTTTTTATTTTTTAAATGAATGTGGTACGTTTGAAATCCAACTGGAAAGAAGTGATGTTCCTCTAAATAACACAACCTTATAAATTAATGAATCTTACTATTCAGTCCTTATATATCTCGCATTCAAATTGAATCTTACAATTTCATGATTCCTGAAAAGTATTTTATAAGTTCAAAATTATGTCAAATTAAGTTGATTTAAACAATCTCCTAATTGAAGGAAGAACGAGAACCAAATGAAATATACACAAGTCAAAATAAACAAAACGATAAAAGTTTGGCAATTGGGTAATGGCATTTTTCCCTCAAAAACACTATATATGACAATTTTCTTGTATTACAATATTACATCAAAGTAATAATACATATAAAATGTATCTTTGTTACTTATTGTGAATATGTAATACGAATACATTTTGTATGTATTAAATTTAACTAATTAAATGATAAAAGCTAAAAGTAAATTACTCTATAATTGCTTTAAAATTAAATTAATTAAAGTAAATTAGAAAGAGCTAACTTAATAACCAAAAATTGAACATAAACTCGAATTTTTTTATGAGAGAAAATCTTGTAGATAGCTAAAAGTTCAAATTTACGAGACAACCGATAACTAAAAATAAGACTAGAGTTCTTGAAAAATTTTAGGTACGTAGCTTCTTAATTTATTTGCATGTGCATGCACACGCATATATATATATATATATATATATGTGTGTGTGTGTGTGTGTGTGTGTGTATGCCTTATATTTATTTTTACACATATAGTATTACGAATTTTACATGATATGATACGAGAATGGTATTCATGCTTTTTAAATGGAAAATTCCAAGTAAAGCAGGTTTTAAATCTTAATGTTTGATCTACGAAAAACTAGGTTAAAAATGATATACGATTTGACACAAAAATGTTGCTATTCATAGATCATAACGTTAAACTTTAAACTTTCTCTAACATAGAGCAATATAGATCTGACTATCTTGCTAATAAACATGACGATAATTTTATAGTACGTATTGTATTTTGTGATTAAGAATCGAAGCTCTCCTGATAGAGCAAAATTTAGTTTAATGCTGAGGCATATTTGCGTTTCTGAACTCAAATTTAATCAATTAGTCACATTTAAAATTTTAAAATATATACAAACAAATTAACAAAGCCTAAAAAATTTCTACTTAAAATAGTCATGATTTAACCTAAAATGCCATTTTTCCCTTTCAATTTCTATAAATTAAATAGTCCAGATCAGGTCCTTCAACTTCACCTAAAAGGCTAAAGCCAAGTTCTTGACTAGTGATGTTCATCCCTATATATATATATATATGTGTGTGTGTCTGTGTGTGTGTGTGTATAAATTACTAAAAGCTATTAAATGTATGACTAATATATTGGGAAGAGATAATAGTAGTTTGACACATATGTAACATTCCATTAAAAAGGATACGCTTTATAGAAATCTTGAATCGGTAAGAAATCCCCTCATGATCAACTTACCAGAATTGGGGAGTATAATATTGAGAAAAGGTAGACCAAATAAGAACTCAAAACGGCCATTGAAGTTTGAATACAAGGAACCCAAAAGTCTTGTTAATTGAACCATTACATTCACCAATGTTTACTTTCGAGATCAACAGTTAGCTAAATAGTGGGATTAGTAATGTCCATTGTGATCTCATACTTTAAACTTCTCCGGAAGATTTTGTGCTCCATCTACTCGTGAGAGTTTTGTGTGTTGATAAAGGAATTGGTAATACAAAGATGAGTCTCACAATGCCACTCACAATTTCTTTTGGAGTCATCAAATATCTAGATTGTTAGTTTACCAATTCATCTCAAAAGCTTAAGCTGTTAGGAGGTGAGTCAACAATAGTTTTATACTTTAACACTCTCCCTCACGTGTGGGCTGGACAATAGGCAATCGTGTGAGTAAATTAATTAAAAAACTCAACACGTGAATATTTAAACCCGAGATATATTAAAGACCTAACACATGATGACAATTTAAATGGGAATAAAGAGTGCAATTATGGAGGTTTGAACTCATGACCTTCCGTTTTGATACCATATTAGTTTATCAATTAATCTCAAAAACTTAAGCTGTTAGGAGGTGGACCAACAATAAATATGATTTAATGGGATCCGGTTATGGGTTACAATATTTAAAACTCTACGTTTTAATGGAAGATAAATCCCAATAAGACACGGAGAGATGGGTCCCATTAATAGAGTTCACGTGGATCCAACTAGTGAGGCCTATTTCTTTATGTCTGATGATGAGGATAAATCCCTATTGGAAAAGCACTTAATATATTATTTCCTTTTAAAAGTCTTGTGGTCTATTAACTGGCTATATATGGTTATGTGTTACTTTATTTCTGTTCGTGTTGATAAAAAAAAAAAAAAGGAACTAATTCATAACCAATAACGCTAGACATTGAAAACAATGGATGATGAGATCATAAATATGTAAAATGACGTCATCCATCAAAATTTGGTGAACTAGCACTGGGAAACGGCTCTGATCAAAGTACCACGTTGACTACACTAAGCTCACCTGTAGAAGGCCAAATCTTCAGCATTGCTGATAAGGACAGGTTCAAAAATTGTTAACCACAATAGGGTGTGAAAAAAGAAAATAATAAACTTACCGAGACGAGACACCAAATGTCGAATAAATTAATTGAATGGTGGGATTTTTAGATATTTAGTAAATCCTACTAGATTTCTCTCTATTTATTGCATCAAAAAAGGGTACCCCATTTTGAGGCATGACCCTTGTGGGCTTATTATGGGAACAAATATTCCTCTCTCTCCTCTTTCTTATTACTTACATATTATTGCACCAACACTTGATATATAAACGTGAAAGGTAATGAGAAAATGTATATGTTTGTCAATATCTATAGATAAAAACAAAAGATCTCATCTCTTGATCAAGTATATATAGTACTGAGTGAGTCAGAGAGAAAGACATAGATATATACATACATAGAGAGAGAGAGAGGAGAGGAGAGAGAGAGAGGAATGGGGAAAGGAAGAGCACCTTGCTGTGACAAGAGCCAAGTGAAGAGAGGGCCATGGAGCCCTGCTGAGGACTTGAGGCTCATCACTTTCATTCAGAAACATGGCCATGATAACTGGAGGGCTCTCCCTAAGCAAGCAGGTAACTTTTTTTTTTTTTTTTTTTTTTTTTTTTTTTTTTTTTTTTCTCATCTCTCACTATTAATCAATTTGTTCTTTATGAGACAATGCCAATCATAAAACCTTGATTCAGTCTTTCTTATAATTAGGTTCTTGATCAACCCAGAAAACCATTGACTGGTAATCAATGCCTTTGACTTCTTTTTTTACCTTAATTAATAAAGATTTCATTTTTCCAGGACTCATTCAATGTATCATAGATTACTAAAGATTCTATATCATTTCATAGATGTTCAAATAACAATCCAACTTTTTTATTTTTTTTAACGTGTCGAACCGGCAACTTCCCTCAAATCCCGTGTCATTAAGCTCAAATGGTCTTAGGTTATAATCGGGTTTTCGATAACAATAACTTGAATAATATCAATTTTCTTGGCTTGTCATTTTTTTTCTTAACACCCTATACCAATATCTCCAAGATTTTGATGATCAAATGATGTTTTCAAAAGCTTTTGACAGTTTCGTGTTTGTTTTCTCAAATATGACCAAAGTTGTCATAATATGCCGTGTGTTGTCTTCAATGAAGGGAGTGTAGTCGCACCAAACGATACGTAGTATGTTAACTTTTTACCAATAATTTTTTGCCAAGAAAATACAACATATTTTTTCAAACAAAGTTTGAAACGTCTTCTTGAGTTCACTTTTGTGGGCCCCATTGAACCTTACAGTTCAGCCATGATATATATAATCGTTACCATATTGTTTTCTTTTTGAAGGGGAAAAAAAACAATGATTATTTACAGCCTGATATTAACATTTATATAAGGATATCATTATAAAATCAATGCGAGGTTTACCATATTTTAATATTATTTACAACCCTAAATTTAATGCTTTTTGGGCATGTAAATAGACCAAAATTTACTTATATATGGAAAAGTATTTAAGGTTTTCCCCCCCTTTTTCATTTAACAGCTTTATATAATGGAGTGAATTCTCTCTAATTAAGAAAATTAATTAAACTAATAATCAATAAAGTCACTACAACTTCATTGGTCTCTTGTTGATTATTTATTTTTAAATGAAAAATGTACTTTCAACGCTAATGGTACCAAAGGTAGGTTCTAAGTCGGTTTCGTTTATGTGGGACCCACACCCATATATCTTGGGGTGCTCGCACTAAATATTGTACTAAACTGCAATTCTCTATTTAAATTGTCACGTATGGCCAAGTTAGGAATATCTTACCAACTTTAAAAGAAAAGGTCAAATTGGCAGTGGGAACAAACCTTGTACGACCAAAAGTCGCATTAAGCTTACTTATGGGAGTCTAATTTGCATGGTTATTAATGTTCGAGTGTCATTTTCAAATTTTATATATGTAGTCAAAATACACTTAATTCTAACTACAATTTAGTAATAAAATGAAAAAAATATTTTCCGTTTCTTTTCTTTCTTTCTTTCTTTCTTTTTTTTAAAGGTTGAACCTTTGACATTCTTACAAGCTTTCTTTTTCAAGAACTAAATTCTCTTCAAGAAAAACATGTCAAATTGCTTTCATAAGATTTGCTTTCAAATGAACTTGAGTTGAACCTTAATATTTGGGACAATACTAATAATCCGTATTCCAATCGTGTCAAAAATATTCTTTAGTTCACACTATAGATGCTTTCTTGTCGTTTTTGCAGGGTTGTTGAGATGCGGGAAAAGCTGTCGTTTGAGATGGATTAATTACCTCAGGCCTGACGTCAAGCGAGGGAACTTCACTCAAGAGGAAGAAGAAGCCATGATTAAGCTACATGAAACTTTGGGAAACAAGTAGGACCTCGTAACATTATTTATTATGTACATGAAATGATGTTAATACATATATACATATATATATATATATATATATTCACTTTGGAATTGTATATGGAATTGTATATATATATATTAAGACGTGACACTTATTGTGTAGGTGGTCCAAAATTGCGTCATATTTTCCTGGAAGGACAGATAATGAAATCAAGAATATTTGGAACACTCACTTGAAGAAGAGATTGCCCTTAGCCAAGAACTCTGATTCTAGCGGAGATGAATCAAAAGAATCCTCCATAACATATTCTTCCTCATCTTCATTCAGTTCAAATCCATCTTGCGGAAAACGAGGTTTGGAATCGGAGGAGCTTGGACATCGATCCGACGATGAATCCGTCCCCAAGAGGCCATGCAGCAATAATGATCAGTTGACAATCGTCCAAGAGAAGCTAATTGATCACGATGTGCAAAAAGAAGTGACAAACCCTAATGACCAACTGATCATCACAAGCACTACTACTACTACTACTTCTTCAGCTTCTTCTCATGCTTCAAATATGTCAAACAGTACCAACACTACTCAAGCTGATCATGTTTCAAGGGACGATGATCATGATCAAGAGGATGATCAAATGGCTAATAATTGGCTGTTTGACTTTATGGGACCTTATGATGTTAGTGATATATTACAGGAGGTGAACAAACCGGACACCCAAGCTGATTTAATGGCCCCATTGGAGGCTGATTATGAGTTTTGGAACATGTTGGAGAATTTAGGCACTAATTTTCTCCAACAGCCAAACGACCAAGTCCAACCTCAAAGTTCAAACTTTAATGGGGAAGGACACAAGGGAGAGAATATTGAAAGTTGGGATTGGATTAGAGCCTTGGAAAACGAGCTCGGATTAACGGGAAACGACAACCAAAACCAGCAACTAGTCTTGGAAGATCAAAGCCATGCAATGGAGGAACAAGTCCCAGCAGAGATGTACTTTCACTATGACGTTGAGGAAAAGCTGCCAGAAGAATCTGATCCATGCCTATACCTTTACTAATTATAATCAATTTGCGCGGCCCTTTATAAATATTTGCAACAACATTCAGCAGCCATCTGATTGATTATTAATCAAATCATTGATTAATTTATTTTTTTCTCTCATGATAGGGCTGTTTATTGTCAGAAGCTTCAGGTACTTTTTAGTACTGTTCATTATTAATTATTTAGAGATTATTGACTTTAGGGTTCTTCTCATCATGATGTGATGTATGATGGATATTTGATTTGATGCATTCTTGCAAATTAAGGGAAATATATGTTAGTGTTGTGTAGACTGAAATACAATTAGCATTGTTGTTTGTCCAGTGACTAATTTTGAGTTTTAATCAAGTGATATTTTACAAGTCAAACTTTCACTAGTGGGTTGGTGATACATATAGTACAAATTATTATTCTCAAGTACTATAATATCATTGGTGAGATTTTTTTTTTTTTTTTTTTCTGTGTCCCCACTAGTCTTAACTTGAAAGTACACAGTAGTTGGTGCTTGACAATTGAGATAGAGCAATCTAGATTTCCTGTAAGGTAAGCCAATCGAGACTCTCATATGTACATGACATGTACGTGGAATGTCCGAGTCAAACGTATATGTACATGATATATATATATATATATATATATATGGTGAAAAGAAGTGAGACCCCACAAAAGCAGGTGAACCGGTTACGTATACTGGACTACGAATATACATATGAGGAAAAAAAAATCATGTTGGATAGTGTCAAGTGTGTGTTTTTGTTAATTGACTCTTACCAAACCAAATGAAAAGTTAGTCTTACTTTGCTGCTATCTTTCATGATTTTGAATTTGAAAGCTTTCTTTTAGTGTGTGTTTTTGTTAAAGAGGTAAAATATCAACTAAACCAGTGTATCTTTTAGTTTTTTAGTTTCTTTTTTTTTTGGGTAAATTTGTGGAGTCTAAATATTGGCCCATGATTATTGCCTAATGCCGATACAATATGTGGATCAATCAGAATTCATTAAGGGCATGTACAATTTTTTTGTTTTTAATAAAAAATCGGTTACCCTAGTTTCTTTTACATAAAAAAGCTGCTGCGCTGATTCATCATTGTGAGTGTCTATAACGCCACGGAAAGTCATGCTGCAACTCTCACATTGACGGTGTGTCCTTGTTTGTGATTGATTTTCTTTTGTGATTTTATTGCTCTCAGTAACATAGAATTGGGAGTACTTCTAATTCTTAATAAGCTTGCGGAGACAATCATATATTGGAAATGTTTGGTTGGTATTTGGTTAATACCAAACCAACCACATATTGTGTTCTTTACTTTTTAACAATACGGTTGGTTAATACGAAAATGCACTAGTAGAAAGATAACCAATTTTTATACCAACATATATGATGAAAGACATAAAGAGAGCGAGAGCCTGTACTTAATTATAAGTAATTACCATACTTTATTTATTTATATATTTATTTTTGCTATTATACCTACTGCTTGATTTGCATTAATCCAGTAATTAGTTCTTATTAGTAGTTCCATTCGTATGTATCATAAGATACTATAGCATCTAGACAACTGCAACCTTCGCCATTCATCACCAATCAAGCAGAAGTTAAGTGATCGTTAGTAAGTAACAAACAGTACTATATGTTCAAATTCAACCTAATTGATGATCTGATATATTATATATATCGGTGGTCCAAGCTTATAAATCCTGGTATAAATTAATATTCTGAGATTGTCATATTGGTCATGTATACGCATCTAATTTGTAACTTTTGGCTTTGCAAATGTGTATTTTCTTTGTTAATAGCTTCCTTTTTTTTCCCTTGATCCATCAGGGGGTTTTTCTTTCATTAAGTTATCGTGATGTTTGAATAATCTCTGTGTCGTTTCGTGATAATGATTGATATCTGCTATTTGATTTACTAACATTTATTAATTTTGTCAATTATTGATAAAGACTCAAATATTTCTCATGGTATATAGAATTCTGAAACGTATGTTTTATGTTTTTATTTGTCTACTTAGGGAGTACATATATTATATCTAAGCCAGGTTTTCTTATGTGTAAAGTTTCAAAACTCAAGAGGGAATCTATATTTATAGAAGTTATAACAACAGCATTAAAGTACATAAAATAACAATGAAAATTTTGGGCTTTGAACATGAGATAGCCAAGTAAACAAACTTGGTTACAGTCATAATTATATATTAGTATAGCTCATTTCAAGCTCGGAATACATGCGTTAAAAGTGTATATACCATAAATCACTTCACTAGATCTAGTCCCAGTTTCGCAACTAGTTTATGCGTTAACAAGGTGGCAAAAAAAAAAAAACTGTAGCAGGATTTACTTAATTCTTTGTTACAATGAGTACACGTCATTTTATTAGTAATTATCCTATTTATGATTATTCACCAAAGACCACTAATTATATTACTACTGTGCATTAGCAGAAACAATCGCATTCCATGAGATCGTGTCAGCCTTTTCATATCCATCGTGATAATATATATATATATATATTTATATATAAGGACGAGTTTTAAGAATTACGTTTCTATCGATAGTTATCATTAAATATAAGAATTTAATGACGCGTTGTGATAATTCTTTTAATTTTATTAATTGTTATAATTTTTTTAATCAATTATTTAATTTTTACAATTATTGAATTAATATCTTACGGTTAAAATAACATACATATTAATGAATAAATTATAAAATAACTATTAAAATCACATTTTATATATATATATATATATATATATATATGCATGTCAAGTGTCTAGGTTACCACAGCTGCCAAATGCTGTTGTAGCTTTCGAATACAATACAATAAGGTCATATTTATCTCCTGAACTTGAGTAAATTGGATTTTAAGGCCGCACTATATTCATAGCTCCTTTTCTTCGTCGGTCCCTGTTGTTTGTCATGTTTTTCTCATTAATTGTTGTTGATCATTTTATGTTTTTGTCGTTTTTCATGTTGTTGGTGGATTTCTCTTTCACGTCATTTCTCAATTTTTTTCTCTACTTTTTCATGTTACTATCACTTTTTTCATATTGTCTTGTTTCCTTCTCGCTTTTTGATAATTTTTTGTTGTTTTCCTCTGTGTTCCTTTTTTTTTCTTTTATCATTTTCTGGTGGTTGTATTTAGTTGTTGTATTATTTACGTTTTCATTTTCTTATCATGATTGAACCTGCTTAAGCTTCTTGAGCTTGATTAATACTTCCCGTTGGTTTATTCCGATCCGATCTAAATTTGATGCGGTTTATTGGTTTTGTTGTTGGATAAATACCAGTAAAATTAAGAAATCAAAATGAAAAAACACAATGAAATTAAGTATTTTTTTTTAAATAAACTTTTAAGTTCAAAATTTTGTGTCTTTGTTTGTTTTTTTTTGTTGGTTTTTTTATTCTTTTTTTAACTCAGGATATGTTGTACAGTACCAATCTGGCAATCAACAACCCTATAAGACCAGGAGCTTCAAACATAAATATCTTTCATATTATTATTTTATTTTCTCCTTCAAGTCAAGTGTATGTAAGACTTATTGAATCCATGAAAACAACCTTCAATCTCTTTTGAATTTTTTTTTTTTTTCATTCTTGACTTTTCAATCTTCATGAATTCTACAAAAATCCTCAAAAATTATCTCAAAACTCTCAATCTCAATTACTAGGAAATACTTGACAAATTATCTTCTCTTGAAATTGCAGGCTGAAAAATATTAGCCAACCATAAGGAATGAGACCTAGGTAAAGATAGATGTGCCATACTAGGGCTTGAAAGTATTTTTTTTTTATTTTTTTTTTATTTTAAGTCTTCAACTCACATATTAAACCCACCCGGATTTGAATCCTGATCACGCATCCGCACATACAATCACTTGAGCTAGTTTCATGAAATGGCTCAGCTATGTTTTTCAAGTTGTTCCATCTTAGACTAAACTTAGAGTAATCATGTTCTGAGATGAAGAGGTTTAGTTGATGGATTCAGAATCATTCTCGATTTACGTGTATTTTTTATGAGAGAAAATACTATAACGAGTCACGAACCATGATTCGAACCATGACACGAATCCTTAAACCAAACGCGGACCCAAAAGTGACTCACCTAGGTTTTGATGCACTTCTGTATAGTATTTGAAAGGATTGTTCGCGCAAGTCCTAGCCTTAAAGAGGGATTCTTATTTTTCGGAAGTGTTTAATTAGTGGTCCAAACTTTATTCGACTCGATTCACATTCTCAAATTGTTGTCGTTTCAGATTACTGAATTGTTTTTCCAATTCTTGTCGTTTCTCATTTGTGGTCTTTTTTTTTTCTTCTGCGAGGTTCCTCAGTTGTTGTCATCCATCTTTGTCCACAAGTTGGCTGTCGTTTTCAGGTTGTAGTTTTATTCTTATCGTCCTCTTTTGTTGTCGCTTCATTTTTGTTGCCTCGTTTTGTCCTTTATTGTCGTTCATTAAGTCATTGTCGTTATACTATTTCTTTGTGCTCGTTTCTCATTTCTGGTTGTTTCATCTTCTGTTGGCATTCTCTCAATTATGGTCGTTCATGTCTTTCTATGAATTTACGGTCGTTTTAAAATTTTATTATTTCTCGTCCATTTTTTTCCTTTAATTTTAGTTTTATACCAGTCTTTGCCTTTTACTTTGTTGACCGTTCATAATTTTCTTGTCAATTCTTTTTACTGTTATTTTCTTATTAGTTGTCGCCAAAATTTCTATAGTTGTCAATTTCAATTTTGTTGTCCTTTTATTTTAATATTCGCTCACCACTTGTTGTCGTTTATTTTTCTGGTCGTTTCTTCTTTGGTTTTCTTGTCATTTCATTTCTTATCGTTTCAGTTTCTTAACCGTCCTTTCCCCTCGTTGTCGTTTTGTTTTGATGATTGTTTTTCGTTTTGCTGTGTTTTATTCATTAAGAAAGAATGTTCTTTTCCATGTTTGATGTTTCCCAGCAAAAAAAGAAAGCATGTTCTTTCTCCTAGGAAATTTTTAATTTTTCGATGTTCTGAAAAATATGAGGTCGAAATTTCCTTAAAAAAACGACATCTTCATTTTGCATTCATTTTTTGAAATAACACCTGGTTTTTTTCTCCATAAAACGACTTCTCGTTTTTTGTTCTTGTAACGACTCGTCGTTTACTTCTATCTTGTAATTATAATGAAAATATGCGGTTTGCTTTTTAAGCGACATGCCGTTTTCTCTCATTAGTACTTTTACGTCGTTTTTTTTTTTAGACTTTTACGCCGTTATTTATTGGGGAAAAAAAAAAGGTTATTTCAAGCTCAAAAGAAAAGAAGGAAAATAAAACAAAATGAAATAAAAATTTCTGAAGGTTTCCCAGGTTTTCTCCTCGTTATTCCTGGAACACTCTCCATTCCGATTCTCAGTTCTTCCCTCTCTCTTGCTCTCCAATCTTGAAAATGGTGGAAATCAACGATTGCCCAGAAGAAGCTACAACAGCCATGGAAGACGATAAAGACGAAGAAGAAGGAGGAGGAGGAGGAACAAGAAGCAGAATGTTCGAGAAGCTAAAGCCGTACTGCTTAGAGCTTCTGGAGCTTCTCCAAAACCCAAAGAAGCATTCCTCCGCGATTCCGTCGCTTCTTGAATTCCTTCGCCAATCTCCACCAGATTCTCTTCAGCCCTTCTTCGAGTGAGACCTCTCTCTTCCTCGTTCAATTTTGCTTCATTGCCTTAAAGTCGTGAATTTTAATTTTTATACAAATTAACAGATGAAAATGCAATTTTTTAAACTGTTTGTGCGTATAGAAATCAATTAAAGATCAGCTTCTTAGGGTTAAATTTTTAATCTTTTTAGTTGCTTTTACTTCCAAGCTGGTTTTATGAATTTTGATGTTGTTGTTGTTGTCGTCTCTTTTTTTTTTTTTTTTTTTTTTTTTTTTGTGCTCGTTTAATCTTGACCCTTTTCAGGAAACTGATACGTTAGCGTATTTAGCCATTTGTGCTTTCTACAGATTATATAGTTATGCCAAATTATGAAAATTCGGTTACACCGGGGTTTTGGTTTGTCATTAATATTGTTTTAGGTGTCTACATCTTGTATATGTGTTTGTTTTTATGTGTATGGCTGATGTGTTTATTTGTATTTATTTTCCAGTTATGCTTTGTTCCCATTGCTGCTTCTACTGGATGCGGCGGTTGCATCTAGATCCCCGCAGAAGGTTGATTCTGAAGGTAAATTTGAAAGCTCTAATGGCTCGAAAACGCCTCCCAAAGTCGGTGATCAAGTGGCAGAAGGTGTGCTGCAGTGTCTGGAGGAACTTCTCATCAAGTGTCATCTAGGATCAGTGGAACAGGTAATCTGATTTGAGATATAGTTTTTATGTTGATATTTCAATTTATATTTAATTATGGCCTAATAGTTTAGTCTAAATCAGGCAACGACTTAGTACCAAGATGTTCTTTGTTGTATATTACGATTACAAGTGGTCTATGTAATTCCTCCTTCGAGCTGGGAGATGGAGAAATTTTACAAAGAAGAGTTATTTTGTCCTGTTTCCTGTTGTATCTCTCTGTATCTCTTAGATACTTTTGACTCACTTTTCAACTGCATAATTGGACCGTTCTAATTAAAATTATGAAATGGTTGTATTCTGCTTCTGTTTGTTCTATTGCCTTTTCAAGACCTTGTTTCCTGTTTGTTTTTTAATAGAAAAAGATTGTTTCTTCACAGTTCGATATTCCTATCATACTCATTCATGCCTGAAGTTGGTAACTAAAGAGAGTTTACTCTTAAATATAATGTCAATTGACACAAGTGGGGCATCCCTTTTTTAATATTATTATTTTATTTTGCTTGAAAGTCATATGACAGTTTATATCTTATCTTAAAGACGCACTTTATAATTAATAAGGGGTAGTTTTTGTCTAAAACTTAATGAGTGGTAATATTAATATCCTATTGCAGATGGTTGTAGTCATGAAAAAATTGACTTATGGGGCTCTACTTTCTCCATCTGATGCTTCAGAAGAGTTCCGTGAAGGAATCATTAAGTGTTTCAGGGCACTGATTTCAAGTTTGATTCCATGCTCCGATGAGTCCTGTACGTGTAAACAAACCTTTCATCTGCCATTGCTTTTAGACAGTAGAGATTTGAAAACCATGCCTGTTAGATCTGCAAAGTATGATTCAGAACCGGCCGAATGTTTAATTGCATTTCTTCAGTCTCAAGCTTCCTCGGCTGCTGTTGGACACTGGCTATCTCTTCTTCTCAAAGTATGTGTAATCACTTTAGTTAACGATTGGTTGACCTGTAAACATAATGTGTTTTCTTATTTTATTATTTTCTTGTGGTTTTGTACAAAAGGCGGCTGACACTGAGGTTGCAAGAGGACATAGAGGCAGTGCAAAGCTTCGTATTGAAGCCTTTATGACCATGCGTGTGCTTGTTGCTAAGGTAATGTCTTTGACTGTTAGTAACGAGTTCCAACCTTTGGAGATTTGACGTCACACTCAATCAACAAGGCCTGGAACTTAGAAGGCGTAAACTAGTTTGTCACACTCAATCAACAAGGCCTGGAACTTAGAAGGCATAAACTAGTTTGTCACACTCAATCAACAAGGCCTGCAACTTAGAAGGCATAAACTAGTTTGTCACACTCAATCAACAAGGCCTGGAACTTAGAAGGCATAAACTAGTTTGTCACACTCAATCAACAAGGCCTGGAACTTAGAAGGCATAAACTAGTTTGTCACACTCAATCAACAAGGCCTGGAACTTAGAAGGCTTAAACTAGTTTTTAGTTTTTACTATGGTTCCGAGTTGAATTGGCATCAACATAAAATAGAAATTTTAAAACAACTAAAAAGTTCTCTAATATGCAAATTTTTTCACTGTAAGTTTATGAAAATTTTATTTATTTATTCAGCTTTCTAACTGGAAAACTTAGACATATCCAACTTTTTTGAGCTGTGCATCATTGAAAGTGTCATGGGTCGAGTGAGTAAAATGTTGGCTAATCCCAATGCATTAGATTGCTTTTGCTTGTCCAGTTGTTACTTCTGTGTGAGAAATTTTGGTTAGTTTCATCCACAACATTACTGCAGGTCGGTTCTGCTGATGCATTAGCTTTCTTTTTACCTGGCATTGTTAGTCAGTTTACAAAAGTTTTACATGCCTCAAAAGCAATGGCTAGTGGAGCTGCTGGAAGTGTTCAAGCCATTGATCAAGCGCTTAGAGGTTTGGCTGAGTTTCTCATGATAGTTCTACATGATGATGCTAATATGGCTAGCCTAGAGACTTCCCTGAAAACTACTGCTGATATCATTTCAAACAAGTCTATGTCCACCCAAGCATTGATGGAGGAGCTCCGTAACTTGCCTTTCAAGGCCCAGCAAAGTCAAAGCAGATTTGTAGCAGGAGAACCGAGTGGTCAAGAGCCGAAAGTGATTAGTCCTGAACCCGAACTGAATGAACATAGAACCGACTCTAGAAAGGGGATTGGAGATCTAAATGTAAGTCGTACAAAAGACTGGATTGAGAAAACTTCAGCTCACGTGGATAAGCTATTGGCTGCGACTTTTCCAGATGTAAAATATTCATCCCTTTGAATTCATGCTAGTTATTCATTGGCTTGTCGCAATTCATTTTTTCCTCCCCTTTTCAATGTTTAAACTGGTAATCTTGCTACTTAATGAGTAAGTCTTTCATCTTTCAAATGTTTGCCAGATGTGCATTCATCCAGCAAAAAGAGTGCGACAAGGACTCCTAGCTGCTATCCAAGGTCTGCTATCAAAGTGCAGGTGCACGCTGAAAAAGAGCAGATTAATGCTTTTGGTAAGCCGAAGAAACAGATGATTCAGTTTCTTCAAAATTGATTTATGTCCTCTTGTAAAACAGTAAGAAAATATATCTTATCATGATATGCTCTAGAGACCTATATTTCTACGCCATTCAAACAATATGAGTGCAAGGTTCCTCTGGAACCCAAGAAAACTGGCCACCAACAAGAATACTATTTCGTTTATTGTGGCTCCATGCTACCTAGACTTTTCCCATTTTCTCTTTTATGTTCTTGTTTGCACATAAGGATTACCCTTTAACCTCTCAAAGAAATGACACGAGGTGCTCTCTTCCTCAAGTACTTATTGTGTGTCACAACTTGCCTTTGTGTAGGAGTGTGTATGTGCTTTGGTTGTTGATGAATCTGAAGAGGTTTCAGCAGCTGCGCAGGAGTTCCTTGAACATTCATTCTCATCGATCGGCAACAAGCAACTGGAGCAGGATGTTGCAGATATTTTCAATAGGTTTGTGCTTCATTAATAGGAGATGATCTTGGACTTGATTGAACTGACCAAACTACTCTATGAGAGGATTTTTTACGGCTAAATTAATAATGTTTCTTTGACCAGACTCATTGATAGGCTCCCAAAAGTAGTGCTTGGGAGTGAGGAATCTCTAGCAATCTCACAAGCTCAGCAGTTGCTCGTGATTATATATTATTCTGGTCCGCACTTTTTAGTTGATCGTCTCCTTCAGTCTCCTGTATGTGCTCTTTTTTCCCCTTTAATTTGTGATACCGATTATTTAGTTCTCACATCAGAAAATCCCATGAAACATACGGACTAATGCACTCGATGATTATGAATTTAAGATTTGAAAGAGAGAGAACTCGAATTGACTCAGGCTAAATGATTTGGTCGCTCATGTTGTGTCCCCTTGAAATGTACTCTAGAAATTTAAATGACTCTTTGTTATGTTCCACTGCTCTTGCATCAAACTAGCTCTCAGTCTTGTGGGTTCCAATCATTAACATTTTAAGTTGTATGTACATGTATAGTAATGACTAATTTTGGTTTGATAATTTGTTCTTTGAACTTAAATAGATAGGCTTTTTTTAATCAAGTTTTTTATGACGTTGGTTTATATTTTAGGTAACAGCTGCTCGATTCTTGGAAGTTTTTTCCCTTTGTTTTAGTCAAAACTCTGTATTTGCTGGTTCTCTTGACAAGCTCATAAGGACTTCCTCCATAGGATATTTTGACTCTGTTGCTGAGCTGAAAGCCTTATCTAATTTGACTAGCGATCCCCTGACTGCAATATCTGCTACTCCTAAAGTTTCGAAGCCCGTGATTGGTCAAGAAAAACAAGTGACATACCTGGAGGAAAACACACAGAAGAATTACGAATTACCCCGCATGCCTCCTTGGTTTGTTTATGTTGGGAGTATGAAACTCTACCAAGCTCTTGCAGGAATTCTAAGACTAGTAGGTTTATCCTTAATGGCAGGTCATTTCAAGACTTTGAATTTACTTTTCCTTTTTAATCTTCTATCCTTTTTTTCATACGCACATCAGCTAATTTTACTTCTCTTTCTTGCTAGACTTTAGAGGTGGAGTGAATTTGTCGCTTGTTACCGAAATTCCTCTTGGTTACTTGCGCAAGTTGGTTTCTGAAGTTCGCATGAAGCAATATAACAAAGAGAATTGGCAGTCTTGGTATAATAGAAATGGTTCAGGACAGTTGATACGACAGGCGGGCACTGCAGTCTGTATTTTAAATGAGATGATATTTGGTATATCGGATCAGTCAATCAATTGTTTCGCAAGGATGTTTCAGAAGTCACGGATAAAGGAAAAAGAAGTTCAAGAACCCAATTCATGTTTTACTTATAGTCGGCCTTGTAAAAGCATGCTTATTGAATCAAATTGGAAAGTTTCATGTGAAAAGGGCATAAGGAATCACCTGATAGACTGTGTTGGTAGAATATTACATGAGTATCTATCTCCAGAAGTCTGGGATCTTCCAATGGAAAATAAATATTCTGTTGCCGATCGTGATTGTGAAGATGGTGATATCAGTTTACATGTCTTCCGCGATACAGCTATGCTACACCAGGAAATATAAATCTTCCTTCTCTATTATGTTTGCTTTGTGAGTTATAAATAATTGATTCTAGCTTTGTTTTTCCTCCAACAGGTTATTATAGAAGGAATAGGCATCATTAATATCTGTCTTGGGGAAGATTTTTCCTCCAGTGGGTTTCTTCATTCGTCACTGTATTTATTGCTTGAGAATCTTATTTCGTCAAACTACCATGTGAGAAGTGCTTCTGATGCTGTTTTACACGTCCTTGCTGCAAAATCTGGATATCCGACGGTAAGATTTTGTTTGTGAAATATACCTGTGTTTTGTGATTCATTAGGCTCTGACTTTTTTCTTCCAATGATCTTATAGGTTGGTCACCTAGTATTGGCAAATGCCGATTATGTGATCGATTCGATATGTCGGCAGCTACGCCACTTGGATCTTAACCCTCATGTCCCGAATGTGCTTGCCGCCATGCTTTCGTACATTGGAGTGGCAAATAAGATATTGCCTCTGTTAGAAGAACCGGTACACTTTCTACACTCGACGTAATAAATGTTTTAATGGTCCTGATTTGTTCAATTGCATAGTTTAAGTTTCCTTCGGTTTTTGGTTTTATTTTTGGTGGTGAGGATTTGAGGAATGAGAGAGGAAAAAAAAAAAGATCTGTGATTTGCGCAGGATTATAATATCATGAACCTTCTTATGTGTGCACCTTTAGTGATGATATGTTGAATTAAATATGAAATTTCAACATATGGATGCTTTTTGGTTGTAATGCTCATTATCTGGTGTATAAAATTCGCAGATGCGCTCTGTCTCACTGGAACTTGAAATTCTTGGTAGGCATCAACACCCTGAATTAACGACTCCCTTTCTAAAGGTCGTTTTTTTCCCCTTGTTTATGTAGTTTGTGAAATATCAACACTTCAAACATTTTTTTGGTTTTCATTTTTTTTGGGTGCTATTCAAACACTTGTTAGGAGCTATACTATGGAACTATAGTTCGTGACCACATTTACTCTTTGGACCTGAATATATTCGAAGTTCATTCAGCAGTTATAAATTTCTCAGTTGCTTAGATTGATAGGGAGAACTATCAAGAATGACATTGAAAGAATTGGGTGAGAACAAACACTAGAATTTTTTTTTTCTTTTTTCCATCTATTACTGGAAAGGAATGGAGAAAAAAGAAAGGAAATGGAGATGAAAACTTTATCCTAAACATGTTAACTAGTGTTTTAAAAACACATTTTTATTTTTATTTTCAATTTTGTAGCTATTGAAAAATGTAATTTGTTGCGTCCAGTTTCAGTCTTCCTTGATGCTTGTGTTATGGCAAGCAGATGAGTGGCTAGATAAACTGGCAAAGTTTTTGTTTAGTTGCGTTATAGCCTTGTTGAGCTAGTATCTGATTAGATTACAATCACGATCATACATTTTGATTTGAACAGCTAACTAGTGATCGCTGACATTGTAATCAGTGATATGTATTGTCGTCCAATCGCTTATTCCTAAAATTTATGTGTTTGCTAATATAGAACTATTATCTCGTTGTTGATTTTTTTTTTTTTTTTTTTCACTCTCTAGGCTGTTTCAGAAATTGGCAAGGCATCAAAGCGCGAGGCCAATTTATTGCCTGAACAAGCAGAGTCCTATTATTTGCATGTTAAGACTGCAATATCTGATATTGAAATGAAGGAAATGGCAGAATCCGAACAGCTTATGGAATTACATGATAATTCGGACATCGATATGCATGACATGGAGACAGGTGATTACTTTTGTTTTCTATTTCCTCTTTCTATCTTAGATGTGTGTTTTCAATTGTTGTCTTTCTGCATGGATTTAAATGTGAAGTTATAGGTCTATGGTCATAAGATATAACTGTAATAAAGATTCAAGATGATTGAGAAAATTACATGGACTAACAAAATATGTGCTCCGAATATAACCAACTTTTGTGTAAATATTTATCTTTCTTCAGTCAGCCATTTATATCACTAGAAGTTGTTGCAATCTCTACCCCTCGAACCAATTGAATGGGAAAATGAAAGGTTAAAAGAGAAGAAACAAATTCTTGGTTTCTGCAAATTTTATTTTTATTTAATCTTCAGTCTGCCATTTATATCACTAGAAGTTGTTGCAATCTCAACCCCTCGAACCAATTGAATGGGAAAATGAAAGGTTAAAAGAGAAGAAACAAATTCTTGGTTTCTGCAAATTTTATTTTTATTTATTCATTCTTTAAGTCAATGAGTTATGATATATATAGTACAAAGGGGCCTTTTGAGATCCTAGTATTATACTGAAATTGTGCATCCGTTCTTATTTGTAATGGTGATGTATTTCAAATTTTCATGTAGAGCAATGGGAGAACCGTTTGTTTAAGTTGAATGACTCAAAGAGATATAGACGGACAGTTGGATCTATTGCTGGTTCTTGTATTGTGGCTGCAACCCCTCTACTAGCTTCCGCGAATCAAGCTGCTTGTTTGGTGGCTCTAGATATAGTCGAGGTACCATACTAGTCCATTGGTTTTAGACTTTATGAATCCAAAGAAATTTTTTTGCTTCTAAGATTCTGACCTTGCAAAGATTATCAATTGCTTCAACTTTGTAATGATGGTATACAAAACATGCTGCAAAACAAATTTGATAATAAATTCGAGCAGAAAGATGAGTCATTGAGATTTGCCCGCCCTTTTTTCTTTTTTTTTTCCCCTTTAATTTTGACAGGAACTAGATGAGTCTTTGTTTGCATTTCCATTATTTTAGTTCGTTTTCCAACGTTTTCTCTTTCTGAATATGAAGGAAGGTGTTGCGGCATTAGCAAAAGTGGAAGAAGCATATAGGCATGAGAGATGCACAAAAGAAGCAATTGAAGAAGTGATACGATCGCATTCATTATATCATCTTCTAGATACTCTAGAGGCTGCAGAAGATGGAAGTGACGAGAATAGGTTACTTCCAGCGATGAACAAAATATGGCCTTTTCTGGTTGCGTGTGTTCAACACAAAAATCCAGTGGTGCGTGGTTATTTATTTCTCTATTATGCTTTCCTCAAAAGTTTTATTGCGAATGTGGATTTCTTTGTTAGCGTTTTACCAATCTTTAACTGATGCATATTTGACGTTTGTGTGATTTCTTTTTCTGTTAGTAGGCTGTTCGAAGATGTTTAAGCGTGGTAAGCCATGTAGTGCAAATCGGTGGGGGAGACTTCTTTTCTCGTCGCTTCCATACGGACGGATCTCACTTCTGGAAACTCCTGTCCTCGTCCCCATTCCAGAGAAAGGCCAATTTGAAGAAAGAAAGAATGCCTCTGCAACTTCCGTACCGAAGTGTTTCCACTTTGCCGGAAGACTCGATGGCTGAAACTTCCAATCTGAAAGTCCAGGTTGCAGTGCTCAACATGATTGCCGATTTGGCCCGGAACAAAAGGAGCGCTTCAGCATTGGAAATAGTCCTCAAGAAGGTCAGCGGTCTGGTGGTGGGGATAGCATGTAGTGGCGTTGTGGGACTTCGCGATGCGTCTGTGAATGCCCTTGCTGGACTTGCGTCTGTGGACCCTGACCTCATCTGGCTTCTCTTAGCTGATGTTTATTACTCCATGAAGAAGGCAGATATACCTCCACCACCAACCACAAGTTTACCAGAGATCTCGCAAGTACTACCACCGGCAGCATCACCAAAAGATTACCTTTATGTACAGTATGGAGGGCAGACTTACGGTTTTGATGTCAACATTTCGTCCGTTGAAACAGTTTTTAGGAAACTGCATTCCATTGTTTTCACTCACCAAATGTACAGATAAAACTTCATTGTCATAATTCCTTGTACAATTACCATTTTGTAGAACTTTCTGTTCCTTTTTTGCAAATAATAGTAATATTAATTGAAAGAACGTTGTATATATGCCTATGCTCAACATATATACAACGTTCTTGGTCATCTTTGTCGGGAACTTCCTATATAGTGCTGAAAATACAAAAGCTAGGCGCGTTACTTGATTAATATGATGTCAACACGTTACATTTTCGCTACCATCCGCCATCGATAATGGCAGGACAACGGAAACAATGGAATGTGGAAAATCAGGCACATCCTTGGACAGACGAAACTAAAGAGTTCCACAGCTAAATCATGATTTACATACAGCTCTTTCAATCAGATTAGTAGTGACAACTCTTCATTGTCATCGAATCAATCTAATGTGAGATGGGTAAAATACAGAAAAAATGAGACTATACGTACAATTGTGAACAAAAGCTGAAGTAGCTCATCCTTGCAGGACTATCACTTAGCGCTGAAAAGAGGTAAGGAGCAGTTCAGTCGGACCCGACCTTGTGTACCAGTAAGAACATTGAGGTTTGACATCTTCATCATCGCTCCCGCAAAGTCAATTCGGAAGGTTGATCCGTCATCAGAAGCATAAGCTCTAACCAATCCTTCAGTCTTCTTAGCAGCCATCAATTGTTGATCGGCAAAAAGTAGCCCTCTTCCCATCAACAACCTCTGGTAGTAGTGAGTATCAAAATCTGCCCCAGAAGGCACTGAGGATGATAATTCCTCAATGGACGGCCTTCCTGAAGCAGACTCACCAGAACCTCTTGAGTGCATGCGTTCAAACAATCCATTTCTACTAAGAGTGCCATTATCTTCTCTGCACCTCAGTCTCATCTCATTGAGGAAATTGGGTGCCAAAGTGGGATCAGGTTGACCCGTGCCATTGAAGTTGTAGAGGCGATTGTGAATGAACTCACAGCTCATCTTCCCAATGTTGTGCCCTCCTTCAGATGTGAACCAAAACCCAGAAAGCATGTCACGACTAAAATCCCTCTTTTTTCAACTCTTATCTAACATAGAAGATCAAAAGCAGAGGGCTTGGATAAAAGTACCTAAAAGACTAACAGTCTCTCTTTCATTAAAACCTTTGAGTGCAAATAGATGTAGTATCTGAGTCAGATCATCATCGGGTTTTGGAATCTCAGCCAATGCTTCATCATGGTAGGATCTAATGCTGTCTCTTCTACCTGTAAAAACGGGATAGAAGGGTCCACCAGCCTGCGATTCACACACAAAAGAACATATGAGAGAACCCCAAAAAGAGGTGGAGAAAACATGACTTGTAAAGAATCAGAACAGTATACAACATACGAGGACAATGCCGTCTCTTGTGGCAAGAGATATAATATCAGCGCAGGAAACCACTCCTGGACAAACTCTTTCCAATTCCCCCTTAATATGATCGATTTTGTCCAAACTTTTCAAGGTCCTATTAGGAACAGCGTCCTTTTCGGCTGAGTAATTTTTGTCCCCAAAACTATCATCCAATAGGATTGAAGCATCACATCCCTAATGAAAGAAAAGCAAGCCCATTATGAAAGGAGGATCAACAACACTATACAGTTTAAGCACAAAATCTTAAGAAAGCAATCCAGTTTACAGAGCAAAAAGTTGTTAAAAGTAACTGATCCAGATTGAAGAATCTTAAAATATAGTAGATGAAGTACACTACGAGCAAGGTCACAATCAGAATATTTAGAAATTATTGTCATTATAGAAATTCAATACCAAATTAAAGTGCTAAAAGAAAAGCCTCCATGTTCTTAACTAAATGAAAAAAGAACAGAACTACTGGAAACTGAAAACACTCAGTATCCAAATAAAACTTCACAAATGAATCAATACCAGAAAAAAGAAGAAGAATAACATCCAAGAATTAAAGCCATGCATTGACAACTTAACTGAAGGAAAGATCGCACAGTTTCAAGAATCGCAAAGCAGAAACTAAAATCAAGATCAAACTAAGACAGAAAGTAATTAAAACAATTAAGACCTAAAAAAGATCAAGAAAAAGAATCGAAACCTACATGAACGAAGCAATCATGGAAGAAAAGGCGAAGCAGAGCGGGGGAGACATCCTTGTGCTGGGAGTAAATCTGCGCCATTGTCGACCCCACGATCTTCTCGGCGTCGGGGCACGAACTCCGATAGAAGTCGTAATCGAGACCGGTTCTGACCGAATTGAAGGAGAAGGAATCTTGAACGGACGCCAAGGAGACGAAGGAGGGAGATTGCGAGTAAACCAAACAGTCTTCTCCGGAAGAAGAAGAAGAGAGACTCACAAAGAATTTCTGTGGGTCGATTCTAGGGTTTGAGAAGGTGATGAGAACGGCAAAGATGGATATAGCGAGGATTATCATCCCATTCACCTTCTTGAGTAACATCTTTCCACCTAGAGAGAGAAAGAGAGGAGAGAGAGAGAGAGCGCGGGAAATGTAGAAGAACAGATTGAGAGAGACAGAGAGAGCTATTTTATAATGTGAGAAAAACAAACGAATGAAAAGACGAATTTATCCTTCTTTGGTCAGGCTAAGTTGGGCTTTCTGGAAGGGCATCCTTGGGTTGGGAAAATAGGGACCCGTTTCGACAGTTGGACACAGAGGGCGTCAGAAACGACATTTTTTTTTTTTTTTTTTTTTTTTTTTTTTTTTTTTGAGTAACTACGTCGAAATTAATTATAAAAAAATTATTGGAAACGACAAATAACCAAAAGAAATGGCAAGGAAGGAAAAATAAAAAAAAAATAAAAAAAAAGAAGGAAAGAAAAATGATATTGGAGAAGCAATAGAAAACGACGGAAACTGAACGGCAATTAATAGTCATGTTTATGTTAGTGTAACTTATTTTCTATAACTCCACTAGATTCAAATTAAAGATAAAGGAAGATGAAACACTAAATAAAATAAAAATACGGTAGAAAATATGTCAATATAAAAAGCTTAAGAAAGTATATAGGACTATTTTTAGTTATAGAAATTAATAGGTCATAACTTGTCAAGTTATAGTTTATAATCAGATAAATTATAGATAAACTTGTCAAGTTATGGTTTATAACCAGACAAGCTATGAATAAAAACTGTGAATTATGGATAATAACTTGTCAAGTTATGGTTCATAACCTGACAAGTTATAGACGAAAACAGTAATTTGGCCTATTTATTAACTTATGTAAATTATTAGCCTATTAATTTTGATTCATCTCAAGTCTTGACCTATTTCTCTCTTTCTCCCAATAAAATATGAGAAAAATATATAATAGAAAGGTTCCTTTAACGATTAGAAAAGTTTATTTATCGTAGTAATAAAATTTCTAACTTAATCTTTATTTTGTTTCAACTTTCTCTTTTAAAATATCCTTTAACTATAAGAACATTACATTCATAATCTTAATATTATTTGAATTTTGTCTACTTTTTTTCAAGTTTCATAGTGATATAAGTGTAACAACTTTTCTATGTTATTTTTGAAAGGTTAACTTCAACTCTACAATATTTAAATCCGAATCAATGATCAAGAAAGATTAAATATTAAAAAAAATATTAGGAAAATATAATTGAGAAGTTCCTTTAACGATTAGAAATGTTTATTTACCGCGGTAGGAAATTTTACTACCATGGTAATAAAATTTCTAACTTTATTTTGTTTTAACTTTCCCATTTAGAATAACCTTTAACTAGAAAAAAATTACGTTTATCATGCAAACAACTATATTCAATACAAAAATAAGAATTGTCACCTAATCTTAATATTATTTGAATTTTCTTACTCTTTTTCAAGTTTCATAATGATATAAGTGTAACAATTTTTCTATGTTATCTTTGAAAGGTTAACTACGACTCCACAGTGTTTAGATCTGAATCATTGATCAAGGAAGATTAGGTTAAAGAAAATATGAAGGAAAATGTAACGGAGAGATTCCTTTAATGATTAAAAATGTTTATTTACCGCGGTAAGAAATTTTATTACTACGGTAATAAAATTTCTTATATAATATTTGTTTTGTTTCAACTTTCTCGTTTAGAATTTAACTAGAAGAATATTATGTTTATCATGCAAACAACTATATTTAATACAAAAATAAGAATTGTTACTTAATCTTAATATTATTTGAATTCTCCTACTCTAATTCAAGTTTATTAGTGATATATTGTAACATCTTTTCTATATGTTATCTTTGAAAGGTTAACTACGACTCTATAGTGTTTAAATCCGAATCAATGATCAAGAAAGATTAAAGATTAAAGAAAATATGAAGAAAATGTAACGGAGAGGTTCCTTTAACGATTGAAAATGTTTATTTACCGCGATATTAGTTAATCTTTATTTTGTTTTAACTTTCCCATTTAAAATATCCTTTAAGTAGAATAATATTACATTTACCACGCAAACAACTATATTTAATACAAAGATAAGAATTGTTAAAAATTCTTAAAATTATTTGATTTTTCCTTTTTTTTTTTTTTTAAAAAAAACGACCCCGAGATATAATAAATAGCAGAAAACAATATAATAGCAAGAGAAGAAAAGAAACGAAGCAACCTGTAAAACGACAATGAATGATAGAAAGGAGAGAAACGACAGCGCTGTATAAACGACATAAAAAAAATAAAAACGACAAAAAAAATCCGCAGAAAATAAACAGAGCCTAGACGACAGATAATAACTTTTTTTTTTTTTTTTTTTGAGGAAACAGATAATAACTAATAGAAACGGAAAGGAAGGATAAAACCACAATAACTTGGAAAACGATGGCCACGTGAGAAACGACAACATAAGGAAATTAACGACAGTAGAACCATAATGGGATAAAATAAAGATAACATAAATAAAAACAACAAATAACGTCAAAAATAAAAATAAAGGACATCAAATTTAAAATGGAAACAAATACTTATGCCACGCAATAACTTGAAACGACAATAAAAAAATTTGAAAATAATGGACAAAATGTCAATGCAAAAAAACGACCTCAAAAGATACAAACACTAGAGCGAGAACGAGTCAAAACGACAACGAAGCTGTCGCGCAACCACTTAGGCTTTACTGGTATCATCGTCTTCAAGGGCCTAACTCTCTGGGCCTTTGAAGGAAGTTGGTTCTAGAAGCCCAATTTTGATCATCGAAATTACATTATTATTCATTTCTACACCGCTTTAGATGATGAAGAATAAAGGGCACAACGGAGATTCGCTTTCCGTGTTTAAGAGCATTTTCTCGTCGTTTGTTTCGAGTGTCTCCTTCTCTGTCTCTGTTAAGCACACCTGAAACTTCCAAATGGGAAGCGACCGGAAATCCAAGGACAAGAAGAATAGAAAGAGAAGCTCTTCTTCAGATTCTGAAGGTACTCACAAAAATCTTTTCTTTTCTTTTCATTTTGTTTGTTTTTTTTTTTTGTTTGTTTCGTATAGTTCTAATGAACATGGAATATAGGAAATTTTCTTAATTTTTTTAGGTTTTATTTAGGTTTGTTCGCATTAATTATAAATTTTGAGCTACAATGAATGAATTTATGGTTCTTTTTTAAACTACGCAATTACAAATTTTCAATTTATAATTTCTGCTGACCTAACTGTAATAGTATCACATTTTTCTTCTGATACTTCTTTAGGTTTTTTCCTTTTTTTTATTTTGGTGGTGAAATTCAGAGGAGGGAAGAAGAAAACGGCATAAATCTGAAGATGAGGAAAGGAAAAGTAGAAAGAGTGATAAGAAAGAGAAGGTAAGGGATAAGGACAAGAAAAGCTCGCATAAGCACTCCAAACGCCATTCTGATAAAGGTATATCGTAATACATACATGAATATATATATATTGAGAAAAGAAAAAAAGGGGAAAAAATTGGTTTACGACTTGTCCGAACTTTCAGATTTGAGGTGTTTAATATTATTTGTTTGTTATTCTGTATCAGAAAGGAAATCCAAGGATAAGCACAAGGGTAAACACCGAAAAGGCGTTCGCGACTCAGTAATAATCTTACTCAGTTTTAATGTTTTAGCTTTGTACTTTAATGTCTAATCATTTCTCATGCTTTAATTTGGGTTTCTTTTCTTAAATTTTCCATGAACTTGTACTTTCACCCATAGACATTGCTAATCTCTAGTCATAGTCTTAATAAGAGTTAAAACGAGCAGAAACTCTTCTTTTTTTTGCTTCAACAATGCGGCATTATTCGAAAAGGATAGGGTCTTTATGAGATTTAGATTTTTGGTTGTGTCTAAAATTTGCAAGGTTTCTGATAGTTGGGTATAATAGGGTGTCTGGTTTGATCATTCTTGTTAGTTAATTAGCTGGAATATTGTGCCTGAGTATTGAGTTAAATACAAAAAACCTGCGGAAAGACAGCGAGTGTGTGCTCAAGGGAAACTGAGTGCTTGAACAAACTGAACTGACTGTGTAACCTCAAATTTCTGTCTCTTTTAGAGAGCTGGATTATTAACATTAAAAAAAAAATCGTCTAAAGAATTAGAAGCTATCAAAATGTTTGAAATGTGAAAGCTTTTGTTTTGTTGCATCTTGATATCAGTACTGTTTGGTAACATTAAGAAAAATGAACTTTAAGCAGAAGTAGTGTACATTAGTCACGTGGTATGATTTTGAAATTTTGATCAGTATAGTTTTGAGTTGGTGAGCTGTTTGTATTTATTGTGTTTGCTTGAACATTTTGATTTTGTGACGAAAATGTGTATTTGTCATCTCTCAGAAACACGAATTCCAAGAGCTCTCCAAGGATGACTACTTCTCAAAGAATAATGAATTTGCCACATGGCTGAAAGAAGAGAAGAGAGTGTTTTTCTCCGAGTTGTCATCGGAGTCTGCCCATGAAATGTTTTCAGATTTTGTCAAGGCTTGGAATGAACAGACACTTGAATCCAAATACTACGAGGGCATTGCGACCGGACCCAGGAGCGCTCATAAGTGGAGAATCAAAGAATGAAAATATCATCATTAGCAGCAGCTGTTCATTCCTTTTTTTATTCCTGCTTCTGTTTTCTTCTCGCTATATGTTGTGCTTGCAGTCGTCTTAAGAGTTAAGGTACCCGATATATTCTTGTGGTTTGCATGAGCAATATATTTACTCTTAAGCTTATTTGTGTTATTACTACAAAAACATACCAGAAACATGAAGTGAATAGATGACATTTTCATGTTACTTTCTGTATGTTCCGTGATTATGAGCAATGCCAATTTTATTAACTTTTATTTATTTTTTTCCGGATTTTATTTTTATTTTTATCCCTGATCATGAATTTGACAAGAGATTTTTTTCTTATAAAAAAAAATTTAGTAAAAATAATTGTGGTAGTCAGCTTGACAACTTGAAATTATACAAGTATAATATTCATGTCACGCTTTTTGTTGAAAATTGGAGCATGTTAAAATTCAAGTTTTAATGCCACGTTACATGATTCCCGCTCCGAACCCGCTCCGAACCGTATTAGCGTCTCTGTACATTCTCCCATTCAATTCATGTTATTATTCATTGTCAAGTTTAAGATGAGTGATTGAAAATGCTAAAACTAATAAGTTGAAGAACTAATCGGTCAAAAAGAAAATTTTAGGTACAAAACGATTACTTATCGAAAATTAAACTTTGCATATGAATTTAGCCTCAAATGGCCATCTGAGAGAAAATCATATGAAATCACATGAAAAACAATAAAACTAAATAGGACAACACAACTAGCTCGTGCTTTGTATGGACGAAACTAACGACCGGCACAAATTGAGGTCCAAGTGATACATGTTTTTTTTTTTAAAAAAAAAAAAAAAAAAAAAAAAAAAAAAAAAAAAACCTTAGTCAAATGAATGTCAGAATTAGAGACGAGGGGAAAAAGAAGACGAAAGGAGTGGGAGTATGGGAGACTACTTATAAATGAATATGCTTTTTTTTTTTTTTTTTTTTTTCCTGATAGGCAATATATAAATTATTGTTATACAACTTAGCATGAGTCCAAATCAGGGTTCAAACGGCAAAATCCTAGGAGCTGGTTTTTTTTTTTTTTTTTTTTTAATTGGGTTAAACATTACATCTGAGTCTGAACTTAATGCAATTTTTTAAACACTCAAATATAGATTTTGGTTGGGTTAGATTCAAACCATTTTTTATTTTTGTACAAACAAACATTAGTTAAACTTGAACATGAGATTCAAACCATTTGAATTCACTTGCCAAACGAACCCTAGAAGTGATTTGTTGAATCAAGTGGGTAGTACTTTGTCCCGACATTTTCTGCTTTTCAGCATGTAACAATAGAACAAGTAAAGATCTCTTCTCTTAATCTTGCGTCCCGTACGACGTTCTCGCTCCTCCATTTCGTCCCTGCACTCCTTTGGAATCTTTTCTAAGCACTCCACGAGCTTCTTTAGTCTCTGCGTAGAATCAGGTGGATTCTGATTATTGGTACACAAGCCAGGACAAGGAAGTGAGGGAGAAGAGGGTTGGTTAGCACAAACGACATTAAAAACATTCATACTTAACACAATCATCATTATTAAGAAAAATTATCCCTTGTGTTTTCCCTTCATGGCCTGCCTTCTTTTCTCTTTTATTTGTTTATAATTTAACGTAAGAGTGTTCGCTATTGTCTATTGATTTGGAGTTGTTCTTGTTTTTGTTTTTTACGTTTTTTGAGAAAAAAAAAATGAAAACGATTCTAAAACGACGTTTGACACAATTAAAGATAAAAAATGAAAATGAAAATGATTTTTTAATTTAGTGTAAAATAGGAGAGAAATGAAAAATGACTTTTAGTCATTTTTCATTTTTTATTTTCGTTTTCTCCTCTCTAGAGCAGAGAGAAAGAGAGAGACATTAATGGATTTTTTTATACTGAAAACAATCTTTTGATAAAATTACCAAACGCATTTTTAAAAATAATTTCTATCTAAGATTGAAAACGTTTTCATTTTTATATAAAAAATAAAATTATTTTAGAATGAGTTCCAAACGTACTTTACTTTAGGTTCATAGGGAAGAAACTTTAGATTGAAAGAATTCTTGTTATATATACATAGCGACCAACACATAAATATAAAAACTACGTCATTTAAATTTCGAGAAGTTAGCAATAATAAATGGTGTATTAATAATTTCAACAACAACAAATTTAAAAAAATGGTGTATTTATAAGCACGCTAAGGGGTAATATTTAAGCTTAAGGGAGTATTTTATTAGTGAGAGTGTGACAATATCGATTGCTATATTATTCGTATAGAGGTGGAGTTTCTGTAGGACGATTAGGTATGTAAAACTAAGAAATAATTTAGCATATACACCAATTATCATGAATAGTTTATGATATTTTTAATTAATGGAGAAATAAAATTTAAATGTTTTCCAAGATATCAATTCCTAATGACATCATTCAAATGAAGAAGTTAACAATATCTGGTAACTTTAATTAATTAATTTGAAATTAATATGCTGCAGTAGAGATTCTTAATTTAATTAGCGTATAAACGTTTAGTTGTACACCTATTTATCTACGATTTTGGCCTTATGTAAAGACAGTACGTGCATGGACAGTAACATAATTTGAGTTAGTTAAGCAGTTCTCCCATATGCTTAATTTGTGAGGAGATAAGTTAATAATTGTTAGGAGATAAAGCCAATAATAATTTTATGTTTTAACAATTTTGATCACATGTTAAATTATGGAGCCTAATGTTTTCCTCAATGATTAGTGGCGGAGCCACTTTAGGCGGAGTGGGGTAGCCGCCTATTTGTCATCTTTAATTAGTGTATAAATCTATTATCCCATGAGAGTAATATATGATTTTTAAAGGAGTAATTACTACATATAGTCTCTAACTTTTTTAGTAGGTGACATTTTAGTCCATATTCTTTTAAATTTGACAAAACGACTCCAACCTTTTTAAATTGGTGCAATTAAGGGCTTGTTCTTTTAATGTTTTTGAGTTAGATAACTTGAGTGTAGATTTTGAATTGAGTTTGAGTTATAACTTGAGTTTAAATTATAACTTGAGTTTGTGTTTGGTTGTGTACATTTGAATTATGGTTTGAGATAAGAATCTTTTTTGAGTTTGTGTTTGAGTAAGTTAAAACTTAAATTTATTTTTAGATAGTATTTTAATAAAAACTCAATGTTGGTGAAAAATTTTAATAGGGTATATGGGTCTAGTTTTATTCGTATTTTCGTTGTCAATGCATAGAAAAAAAAATCATCTCAATCAGAATTAAAACGAAAAAGTTATAGCATTTTTAAGAATAGAAAAAATACTGTTCATTAACTTGAGTTCGAGTTTCTGAACTCGAGTTGAAGGGAAAACTTGAACTCGAGTTTTAGTTCCAAACTCAAGTTTAAACTCGAGTTCAAACTCGAGTTCAAACTTAAAAGAACATGAACTCGAATAAAGTTATAACTCGAGTTACCTTTTTTTGAGTTTTTCACTCAAAAACTACATTGCCGAACAGGCCCTAAGACTTTTTCGTCAAGATCCGTCCAAATATTAACGAGAGAAGGCACATAACGCCCCACATGACCTATATTTATGGTGAAAAGATGATATTGCCCTAAAATGGGTTTAACCCATGAATTACTATTCATTTATTCTTTTTTCTGAATAAAATTTACTCTTTATTCGGTTCATCTTATCAATTTTGGGAATCAATTAGGGTTTCAGAGAGAAAGGGGTTTTGGAGAGTGGGAAATTGGGTGAGTGTCTGGTTTGAATGAATCCTTTGCTTCTGACTCTGGACTTTGCTTCAATTGATGACAGCGACGGTGAAATCTGTTGTTGGGTGAAATGTGGTTGTTCTTCCCGAAAAAGGAGCTCAGCCACCTATTTATCATAAGTTTCTTAGTTTCTCAATTGGAAGTTTTTGCCTTTTTATTGATTTTATTGATTAAGAGTTGTGAGTCAATGAATAACGTAAATGAGACCCTATTTGATGTTTTCTTTTCTTTTTTTTTTTTTTCCTTTTTTGAAGAAATCCATAAACTAAATTTGTTAGCGCTTATTGTTTTGTTTTAGGATTTTTTTTTAGGAAAATAGTAAAAAATAGGCCAATATGAAAAGCTTAAAAAAATATATAGGCCAATTTTTAGTTATAGAAATTAATAGGTCATAACTTGTCAAGTTATGGTTTATAACCAGATAAGTTATGGACAAACTTGTTAAGTTATGATTCATAGTCAGACAAGTTATGGATAAAAACCGTGAATAACTTGTCAAGTTATGGTTCATAACCAAACAAATTATGGACGAAAACAGTAATTTAGCCTATTTATTAACTTATTTAAACTATTAGCCTATTAATTTTAATTCATCTTAAATCTTGACATATTTTCCTCTTTCTCCCTTTTTTTTTAAGGAATGTGTGGTTTTGTTTGGTGAATATTATTTTTTTATTAGGCTGATTCAGTGCACGATAAGAGTGGTGTAATTATTTTTTATTTTTTATTTTGATTCAATGCACGAGAAAATATAATCCAGAGTTTGTGAATATAATATTCATTGAAAGTGATAACGTGCATGAGAAGTGTTTATTTTATTCATTGAAAGTGATGAATTGCCTGTTTTTGTTTTGAAAAAAGTTTCAGCTCCTGATTGTGGCGATATTTATACTTTGGAAGAGCATCATGGGGGTGGCATTTTGATGAAGATGGTATAATATGCTATGTAGGAGGTGAAGTCACATATTTTGATTGGGTTGATAGTGGGTACTTATCCTTCAGAGATATGGAAGATCTCACTACAGAGATAGGGTACAAAACTAATATGGATTATTATTTTAAGGGTCCAACTCGGCATCGTTTTTATCCTATCACTAGTAATCATAAAATAGTGTAGATGTTTAATAAACATTATCCTGGTACGGACATCAATGTTTTTTTCTGTGAGAGTGTTATGCACTACAAATTTATGATGAAGAAGTACCCCCTGAGCCTGAAACTCAATTTGAGCCTGTTGTACCATAAGAGACCAAGGCTGTGAATA